TGAAGATCATAGAGAGGTGGGATGGTTGGGTTGGAAGGGTCCTTGAAGATCATAGAGAGGTGGGAGGGGGCGTGGGGGGATGGAAGTGTGGGATGGGTTGGGTTGGAGGGGTCCTTGAAGGTCGTAGAGTTGTGGGATGGTTGGGTTGAGTTGGAAGGGTCCTTGAAGGTTATAGAGCCATAGGATGGTTGGGTTGGAAGGGTCCTTAGAGGTCACAGAGCCATGGAAGTGTTAGGATGGAAGGGTCCTGAAAGGTTACTGAGCCATGGAAAGGTTGGAAAGGTCCTTAAAAATAGAACCCATAGAACAGGTTGGGTTGGAAGGGTCCTTGAAGGTCACAGAGCCATGGAATGGTTGGGTTAGAAAAATCCTTGAAGGTCATAGAGCCATGGAATGGTTGGATTGGAAGGGTCCTGAAAGATCATAGAAGCATAGAATGGGTTGGCAGGTTCCTTAAAGATCATAAAACCATGGGATGGTTTGGGATGGAAGGGTCCTTAAAGATCATTGAACCCATAGAATAAGTTGCATTGGAAGAGTCCTTAAAGGTCACAGAGCCATAGAATGAGTTGGATGGAAGAGTCCTGGAAGGTCCTAGAAGCATAGAGCAGCTTGGAAGGGTCCTTAAAGATCATAGAACTATGGGATGAGTTGGGTTGGGATAGAAGGGTCCTTAAAAATCATAGAACCATGGAAGGAGTTGGGTTGGAAAGGTCCTTAAAGATCATAGTGCTACGGAAGGGGTTGGGTTGGAAAGGTCCTTGAAGATCACAAAAGCATTGGCTTTTAACTGAACCTTTCTCTTTTTTGGAGGTGATGGGAGCGCCGCCCCATGGACAAAACCCTGTGGGTCGATGTGGGGCCCACTGTGCCCTGGGATGGGGAACGTCGGGGTCCTGCAGGTGGGGATCCCCTACGTGTGGGGTGCCCACGTGGGGCAGCTCTGCGTCCTTTCTGGAAAGTCAAACTATAGAAATATATAATTTGAATACAAAAAAAGAAACACAAAAGTTTGGAGTCCAAAACTGAGCTCTGCTCCCTGTCCTGGGGGTCCTCTGACCCACATCAGCCCCACGGCTGTGGGAAGCTGGGGGTGAGTGTGTAGGGGGCCCCCACTGCCCTATAGTGCCCCATAGTCCCCCCACAGCTCCCACAAAAAGCCGTGGGCTGCCCTACAGTGCCCCAAAGCTCCCCTCAAAACCTCTGGGGTGCCCTACAGGCCCCATAGATCCCATAATAGCCCAGGGGTGCCCTACAGTGCCCCATAAGTCCCATAATAACCTAGGGATGCCCTACAGTGCCCCATAGGTCTCATAATAGGGGTGCCCCATAGGTCCCCTAAAAGCCCTGAGGTGCCCTTCAGCTCCCCCCAAAGGCCCTGTGCTGCCTTATAGTGCCCTACAGTTCTCTCCAAAGCACCTCCCCTATAGCACTGGAGTGCCCTACATCACCCCATTGGTCCCATAATAGCCCAGGGGTGCCCCATAGCTCTCCTGAAAGCCCTGGGGTGCCTTGCAGTGCCCCATAGCTTCCCCCTAAAACCCTCTGGGGTGCTCTGTTATGCCCTATAGTTCTTTCCAAACCTTTTTCCCTATAGGACTGGAATGCCCTACGTTGCTTCATAGGTCCCATAATAGCCCAGGGCTGCCCCATAGCTCCCCCGGAAGCCCTGATGTGCCCCACAGTGCCCCATAACTCCCTCCAGGAGCTTTGGGGTGCCTCATAGCTCTCCCCAAAGCCTTGAGGTGCCTTATAGCACTGGAGTGCCCCATAGATTCCCAACCCCGTCGCCCTGGGGTGCCTTGCAGTGTCCCACAGGTCCCATAATAGCTTGGTGGTGCCCCACAGCTCCCCTCCAATAGCCCTGCAGTGCCCTATAGCTTCTCCCAATAGTTGTGGAGCACCCTATAGCTCTCCCCATAGCCCTGTGGTACCCTGTAGACCCCTCTCAATTGTTGTAGGGTGACCTATAGCTTGCTCCAATAGTTGTGGGGTGCCCTATAGCTCCAATCATATAGCCCTGTGGTGCCCTATAGACCCCTCCCAATAGTTGTGGGGTGCCCTATAGCTCTCCCTATAGCTCTCCCCATAGCCCTGCGCTGCCCTATAGACCCCTCTCAATAGTTGTGGGGCGCCCCATAGCTGCTCTACTCTCCCCCCCCGCCCCCCTCCCCCACAGCCCTCTAAAGCCTCAGGGCTGAGGCGCGCCCCCACCACGTGACCGCGCTCCTCACGTGACTACTCTCCTCCCTCAACACCACGTGACAACTCCGAAGGGGGCGGGCCCGCCCCCGATCCGCGCGCATCCGCCAATCAGCCGCCTTCACGCGCGAGGGGCGTGGCTTCGGGAAGGGGCGTGGCTTCGGGAAGGGGCGGGGCCAAGACCCGGAAGCGGCGCCGGGAGCGGAGCGAGCCCCGCGTACCGGGAGCCCCTCCCCCACCCCGCGCCCCCCAGCGCCGATGGCGGCGACCGCCGGAACCCCGCGACCCCCGGAGCCGTGAGGGGGAACCCAGGAACCATAGGGACCGCGGGGACGCTGCGTTGGGCCGCGCCCGGGCTCGGGGGGCTGCGGACGCGCAGCATCATGGAGGCACGGACCCGGCGTGAGTGCGGAGGGTCCTGGAAGGGTGATAGAATGGAGTGGGGGAGTAGGGGGTCCTGGAAGGGTATAGAAGGTATGGGGCGGGGGGGGTCTTGGATGGGCACGGAGGGGATGCAGCGGGGGGGGGTCATGGAAGGGTGCAGAGGGAATAGGAGGGTCCTGGAAGGTTCGTAGAGAGGATTGGGTGGGGGGGTCCTAGAAGGGCATAGAGAGAAAGGGAGGAGGATGTTCCTGTAAGGGTCGCAGAGAGAAAGAGGAGGGGGGGAGTCCTGAAAAGATGTAGAGAGAATTGGGGGCTGGGGGGCTGTTTCTGGAAGGGCAGAGAGAGAATGGGAGCGGGGGGGGATCCTGGAAGGGCATAAAGGCAGTGGGGGTGTGGTACAGAAGGGCATAAAGAGTGTGGAAAGGGGGGGGGTCCTGGAAGAGCACAGAGAAAATGGGGTGTGGGGATGTCCTGGAAGGTTGCAGAGAGAATGGGAGGGGGGTGGCTTGGAAAGACATAGAGGGAATGGGATGGAGGGTCCTGGAAGGGCAGAGAGAGGATGAGAGAGGGGTGGTCCTGGAAGTGTCATACAGGGAATGGGAGGGGATCCTGGAAGGGTCATAGGGAGTGGAGGGGTCCTGGAAGGGCAAAGAGAGAATAGAGTGAGGGTGTCCAAAAAGGGCACAGAGAAAATAGCAGGGGAGGTCCTGAAAGGGTTATAGAAGGAATAGGAGGAGCACTTCTGAATGGGTCATAGAGAAAATAGGAGAAGAGATCCTGGAAGGGTCATAGAGAGAATGGAATATGGGGGGAGGAGATCTGAAATAGTATAGACAAAATCAGATGGAATGGGTTGGGAAGGTCCTGAAAGATCACAGAATCATGGAATAATTGGGTTGGGAGGGTCTTGAAAGGTCATAGGAGCATAGAATGGGTTGGGGGGTCCTTGAAGGTTGTAAAGACATGGAATGATAGGATGGGTTGGAGCGAAAAGGTCCTTAAAGATCACAAAACCGTGAGATGCTTGAGTTGGAAGGGTCCTTACAGATCACCGAGCCACAGGATGGGTTAGGATGGATGAGTCCTTACAGATGACGGAGCTATGGGATGGTTGGGATGGAAGGGTCCTTACAGATCAACCATTCCCCCTTGCCCCATCCCTCTGCCCCATAGGGTACCTCTCCCCCTCTGTCCGTGCCCCCTTTAAGCCCCCCCCCCCCAGCCCCAAATTGAGCTCAGAGCTCCGTGCTGTGGGGTCGGGGCTGCTCTCCTCACACGCAGCTCCGTGCCCCAGAAATTCACTCTGGGTCGAACTCAGCCCTTCCCAGCACTGCACCCTACCCTCATTACTCCCAGACAACCCTTGAAATTAGTACTTCATTATTATTACTATTAATTATTATTATTGTCATTCTTGGCAGTGCTGGTCACGTTGGCGATGTGACCACCAGGCTGGGGGCAGACATCCGCCCCTCTGGGTTGGAATTCAGAATTTAACCCAAATTAGGGCATTTTCTTTCCCCCCCCCGCCCCCATCTGGGAGCTCATCCCCGTGGTTCTGCCACCACTGAAGGGTCCCTGGTGGGGGGGTTGGGGGCGGGGGGGCGGTTGTGGGGTCTCGTAGGGTCCTGTGTGGCAGTCGGGGTCTTGTAGGTTCTGTGAGATCCATAGGGGACCCATGGGGGGGGCAGGGGGGTTCAGGGAGGGCTTGAGGGATCTATAGAGGGGTTTGGCGGGGGCTCGTGGGGTCCTTGGGGGAATCTCAGTGGGGTCCTTGGGACTCCATGTGGGGTCCATGAGGGATTTCATGGGGTCTGTGAAGGGGTCTTGTGGGGTCTACAGAGGTCCTGGGAGATCCATAGGGGTCTCTTAGGGGGGGTTCAGAAAGGTTTTCAGGACCTTGTGGGGTCTATAGGATGGCCTGGGGGGAGGGGGAGGGTGTCTCATGGGGTCCTTGAGGGAATTTAAGTGGGGTCTGTGGGGGGTCTTGTGGGGTCCTGTGGGGTCCTGTGGGCTCCATGAGAAGATTTCATGGGATTGGTGGAGGGGTTTTGTAGGATCTACAGAGCTCCTGTGAGGTCCATAGGGGTCTCGTGGCATCCTGTAGGGAGAATTCAGGAAAGCCTCGAGGGTCTTGTGTCTTTAGAGGGGTCTTGGAGGATCCCATGGGGTCTTTGGGGGAGGAGGATCTGAGGGGAGGGCTCCATGAGGGTCATGTAGGGTTTTTGGAGGTCCAGGTGGGGCTCACACAGGATCCTAGGGGGTCTCATGCAGCCTCTTTGGGTTCCTGAAGGGCTCTCCTGGGGTTCATGAGGGCCTTGTGGGGTCTATGGGGGTCTCTTGGGATCCATGGAGGGATCTTGTGGAGCCTGTATTGGGGTCTTACGGGGTCCTTAGGGGGGGTTTCAGAAGCTCCTCAAGGGTCTTGTGGGGGAATCGCATGGCATCCTTGAGGGGATCTCATGGGGCCCTTGGGAGGGAGCCTAAAGGGGTTCTGAGAGGGTCTTGTGGGGTTTTTGAGGGGTCCTCGTAGTGTCCATGGTGGCTGCGTGGGGTCCACGGGGGGGTCCTGTGGGGTTGGTGGGGGTTCCCGTGCCCCATCCCATGTCACCTTGCAGCACAGCGATGCAGAGCGTTTGGAGACAGCTTGTTCTGAAATTAATTAGCCTTATTATGGCGGCGGCCCTAATGAGTAAAGCGCTGCTCCAAAATAACAATTAACCTCACAGAGCTGCGTCTCCACCCACTGCACGTTAATGGGTGAGAGCTGGGTGGGGGGAGGGAACCTGAGGGGGCTCAACACGGGATGAGAGGAGGGTCCTGCATTGGGGGGTGGGGAGGAACAACTGCACAGACCTGTGCAGGTCGGGGCTGAGCTGCTGGAAAGGAGCCCTGCAGTGAAGGACCTGGCGGTCCTGGTGGCCAGCAGGTGACCAGCAGTTGATCACGAGCCAGCAGTGAGCCCTGGTGGCCAAATGGGCCAATGGTTGACCAACAGTTGACCAGTGACTGACCGTGACTGGAAGTAAGCTCTGCAGACCAGGACCTGGTGGTCCTGGTGGCCAACAGGTGACCAGAAGTTGACCATGAGTCAGCAGTGTGCCGTGGTGGCCAAGACAGCCAGCGGTGAGCCCTGGTGACCAATAGGGCCAACAGATGACCAACAGTTGAGCAATGGTTGACTATGAGTCAGCAGTGAGCCCTGGTGGCCAAGAGGGCCAACGGTTGACCTATGGTTGACCACGAGTCAGCAGTATGTCCTGGTGGCTAAGACAGCTAGTGATTGACCAACAGTTGGCCAATGGTTGACCACAAGCCAACAGTGAGCCCTGGTAGCCAAGAAGGCCAGTGGTTGACCAACAGTTGACCAACGACTGACCGTGACTGGAAATAAGCTCTGCAGACCAGGACCTGGTGGTCCTGCTGGCCAAGAAGGCCCATGATTGACCACGAGTCAGCAGTAAGTTCTGGTGGCCAAGACAGCCAGCAGTGAGCCCTGGTGACCAGTAGGTCCAACAGATGACTAGCAGTTGAGCAGTAGTTGACCACGAGCCAGTGGTGAGTCCTGGTGACCAATAAGTCCAACAGATGACCAACAGTTGAGCAATGGTAGACCACGAGCCAGCAGTGAGCCCTGGTGGCCAAGAGGGCCAACAGGACCCTGTGGTGCATTGCCAGAGTGCAGCCAGCAGAGCAGGGAGGTGCTGCTCCCCTCTGCTCTGCCCTGCAGGGCGCTGCTGGAGCACTGCATCTTGTTCAGCATCTCCTGGTTTGGAAACCCCCATTGGCTGCAGGGGAAGCTCACGTCCCCTTCCAGTTGAGTTTCTTTGGTGCTGAGCCCCGAAGAGAGGTTTTGCTGTTGGGCTGGGAGCTGGGAGATGTGCTGAAGCATCTCGCCTCGCGCAGGGCTCGCCACCACCCTGATGGACGCCACGACGGACAAGGAGCCGCTGGTGCAGGAGCAGATCTACAACGCTCTGTGCTACCTGGGGGAGGCCGAACCCGAGGAGATCCTGCACTGCTGCGACGAGTATCTGCGACAGCACGACAAGGTGGGCACTGCGGGGGGGAAGGGAACCACAGTGAGCACTGGGGAGGGGGTTTGGAGGTGGGAAACATCTGGGAAACGCGAGCCGGTCCCTCCTGCTGCTCCCTGGCTTGTGGAAGGAAGGGATGCCATTCAGAGGGACCTCAGCAGGCTCGAAAGATGGGCACGGGTGAACCTGATGAGGTTCAGCACAGCAAAGTGTGAGGTTTGGCACTGGGGCCAGAGGAATCCCAGGCATCCCTACAGACTGGAAGGAGCGGTCCTGGAGAGCAGCCCTGCAGAGAAGGAGCTGGGGGTCCTGGTGGGTGAAAAACTGAACGTGAGGCAGCAGTGTGCTCCTGCAGCTCGGAGAGCAAATGGGATCCTGGGCTCCATCGGCAGAGGGGTGGCAGCAGGGACAGGGAGGTGATCGTCCCTCTCTGCTCTGCTCTCGTGAGGCCCCGTCTGCAGCACTGCGTCCAGGGCTGGAGCCCCCAGGACAAGAAGGACAGGGAGCTGTTGGAGAGGGGCCAGAGGAGCCACAGAGATGAGCAGGGCTGCAGCACCTCCGTACAAAGACAGGCTGAGGGAGCTGGGCTCGTTCAGCATGGAGAAGAGAAGCTGCGGGGTGAATCAGTGCAGCCTTCAGCACCTCAAGGGAGCCTACAGACAGCAGGGGAGTCAGCTCTTGGGAAGGGGAGATCGCAGCAGGACGAGGGGATGGTTGGAATTGAGGGAGGGTGGATTTCAGTTGGATGTGAGGGGGAAGTTGTTTGCTGTGAGAGCGGTGAGGTGCTGGAACAGCTGCCCAGAGAGGCTGTGGATGCCCCGTCCATCCCTGGAGGTGTTGGAGGCCAGGTTGGATGGGGCCCTGGGCAGCCTGGGCTGCTGTGAAATGTGGAGGTTGGTGGCCCTGCATTGGTGGGGGTTGGAGCTCCGTGATCTTTGAGGTCCCTTCCAACCCAACCATTTGTGATTCTGTAAGGGATGTGTGCTGCGTCCCACGCCCCCCACACTGCCATGTCCCCCCTCTATCCCTCCTCAGCTGGCCTACCCGCACCGCGTCATCATCCTGAAGGCGATGGAGACGGTAGTGAAGAACAACATCTCCAGCTTGGATAAAAGCACGGCGAAGGTGGTCATCTTCCTGGCCTCCAACGAGATGACCAAATCGAAGGTGGGAGCTGAGGGGCTGCGGTTGCTGCTCCCTCCAGCGCTCAGCAAAGCGACAGCCGTTCCTTCCTGGCACACAGGAGGTGGTCTGGGAATGGCAGCAGGCAGCCAGCAGCGTGCTGGTGGCGGTCGGGCAGCGCTTCATCAACAAAGTGATGGAGGAGGTGCTGACCAAGTTCCAGCCGGGCATCCTGCCGCATTACTTCGTCATGCAGACCTTTGCCAACCTGGCGGTGTCCAACGGTGAGCCCACCCTCCTGCGTTTGGTGTGCGTGGTTTTGGTCAGTGTTGGGTTAGCGCTGGGTCAGCGTTTGGGTGGCGTTGGGTTGGTGTTGGGTTGGTGTTGGTTTGGCGTTGGGTTGGTGTTGGTTTGGCGTTGGGTTGGTGTTGAGGTATATTAGGTCAGCGTTAGGTTGGTGTTGGTTTGGCATTGGGTTGGCGTTGGTTTGGTGTTGGGTTGATATTGGATTGGCATTTGGTTGGTGTTGATTTGGCACTGGGCTGGTGTTGATATGGCACTGGGCTGGTGCTGGTTTGGCATTGGGTTGGTGTTGAGGTATATTAATTAGGTCAGCATTAGGTTGGTATTGGGTTGGCGTTGGGTTGGTGCTGGTTTGGTGTTGGGTTGATATTGGATTGGCATTGGGTTGGTGTTGATTTGGCACTGGGCTGGTGTTGGTTTGGCATTGGGTTGGTATTGAGATGTATTAGGTCAGCATTAGGTTGGCATTGGGTTGGTGTTGAAGTATATTAGGTCAGCATTGGGTTGGCGTTGGTTTGGCATTGGGTTGGTGTTGGGTTGGTGTTGGATCGCATTGGTTTGGTGTTGATTTGGCACTGGGTTGGTGTTGGTTTGGCATTGGGTTGGTATTGAGTTATATTGGGTCAGCATTAGGTTGGCATTGGGCTAGTGTTGGATTGGCATTGGGATGGCATTGGTTTGATGCTGGGTTGGCATTGTGTCAGTGTTGGGTCAGTGTTGGGTTGGCATTGGACAGGCATTGGGTCAGGCTGGGTTGGCACTGGTTTGGTGCTGGCTTGGCACTGGATCGGCACTGGCTTGATGTTCAGTTGGCATTGAGTTGGCTTTAGGTTGGAGTTTGGTTGACACTGGATTGGTGTTGGGTCAGCACTGATGTTGAGTTGGTACTAGATTGGCATTGGATTGGCATTGGTTTGACATCAGATCAGTGTTGGGTTGGTGTTGAGTTGGCACTGAGTTGGCATCGGGTCAGCATCAGGTTGGCACTGAGTTGGTGTTGGGTTGGCCTAGGGCTGGTATTAGGTTGATCTTGGATCAGCATTGGGTTATATTGGGTCAGCACCAAGTTGGCACTGGGTTGGTGTTTGATTGGCATTGGGTTGGCATTGGTTCAGTGCTGGGTTGGCACTGGCTTGGCATTCAGTTGGCTTTGGGTTGACATTGTGTTGGAGTTTGGTTGACACTGAATTGGCATTGGATTGGCACTGGATTGATTTTGGATTGGCATTAGTTTGGCACTGGATCAGCATTGGGTTGGTGTTTGGTTGGTGCTGAGTTGGCACTGAGTTGGCATTGGGTCAGTTTGAGTTGGCAGTGGGATTGGTGTTGGGTCTGCATTGCTTCAGCACTCGGTAGACACTGAGGTGATGTTGGATTGGTTGATGTTTTGTCAGTGCTGTTGGCATTGGGTCGGCATTGAGTTGATGTTGGGTTGGCATTGGAGTGGTGTTGACTTGGTGTTAGATTGGCACAGGGTTAGTGTTGGTTTGGTGTTGGCACTGGGTTGGTGTTGGGTCAGTGCAAGGTTGGTGTTGGGTTGGTATTGGGTTGGTGTTGGGTTGCTTTTGGATTGGTGTTGGGTTGGCATTGGGTGAGCATTGGGTGCTCACAGTATACTGGGTCCTTAAAGATCATAGGATCATGGGATGGGTGGGTTGGAAGGGTCCTTAAAGGTCGTACAACCACAGGATGGGTTGAAATGGACCACCCAGACCCACCCCGCCATGGGCTGGCTGCCCCCCACCATTTCAGGCTGCCCAGGGCTCCATCCATGGCCTCGGGCACCTCCAGCTGTGGGGCACCCACAGCTCTGTGTTTCCTCCCGCAGTGTTCGGGATGGTGCCTTTCCTCAACTCCATCCTGGGGACCATGCTGCCCATGCTGGGGATGGCCAAGCAGGACCACATGAAGTCTGTCTTCTGCTATGGTAAGGCTGCTCGGCTTCTCTCAATACGGTGGGGATTTTGGGGGGGAGTCTGGGGGGATTTGGGGCATTTCCTGAATAGGGAAGTGATCGGGAACGGTGCTCCTGGGTGTCCAGGGGCAGGGCTGGCTCCAGGAGGGGTGGAACCATCAGATCACAGACAGGGCAGAGTTTCACTCTAAAAGAGGGGAGATTGAGATTGCATAGAAGGTAAAAAGGTTTCTGGGAGAAGGGCAGTGAGACGCTGACACAGGCTGACCATGGTGTGCTGGTGCTCCATCCCTGCAGATGTTCCAGGTCATGGGATGGGTCTCTGAGCACCTGGTAGAGCTGTGGGTGTCCCTGTGCATCGTAGAGCCATGGGATGGGTGGGTTGGAAGGGTCCCTAAAGATCACAGAGAACAGAATGCTTGCTTTGGAAGAGACCTTAAAGATCACAGAGTCGTGGCTTGGTTGAGTTGTTAGTGTCCTTGAAGATTACAGAGCCATAGAATGAGTTGCGTTGGAAGTCTTTGAAGAGGACAGAGCTGTGAGATGGTTGGGTTGGGAAGGTCCTTAAAGGTCATAGGAGCGTATAATGGGATTACACAGCCACAGACTGGTTGTGTTGGAAGGGTCCTTAAAGATCACAGAGCTGTGGAATGGTTGGGTTGGGGGGGCCCTTGAAGATCATGGAGTCATGGAGTCTTAGAATGGGTTGGATTGGAAGGGTCCTTACAGATCAAAGAATCAGGGACTGGTTGGGTTAAAAAAACCCCCAGCCCCACCCCTGCCATGGGCTGGCTGCCCCCCAGCTCAGGCTGCCCAGGACCCACCCACAGCCTCGGGCGCCTTCAGGGATGGGGCACCCACAGCTCCGGGCAGCAGTGCTGGGGCTGCACCGCCTCTGGGTGAAGGATTTCCCCACATCTGACCCCACATCTCCCCTCTTTTGGGTTCAAGTAGTTCCCCCTGTACCTCCACCCCTGGACCACCACCCCATCCTCTGCTCCAGCCCCACTCTGGTGGCTCTGTGGCAGCCAGCAAAGAGGAGGAGCCTGTGGGGCATCAGGACGCAGTGAGGTGGCACCAGGGAGCTCTGATGGGGCAGAGGATACCGCAGCTGGAGAAGCCCAGCTGTGCACTTGGCAATAAGGGAGGGAAATGCTTTCCAACCCAACCCGCTCCTGCAGTTCTTTGATCTTTAAGGACCTTTCCAATCCAACCTGTAGTGTTATTCCATGGCTGTATGACCCTCAAGAACCCTCCCACCCCATTCAATGTTTCCATGACCTTTCAGAACCTTTCCAACCCACCTATCCCATAGTTCTGTGATCTTTCAGGACCTTTCCAACCCAACCTTCCCATGGCTAGGTGATCTTTAAGGATCCTTCCAATCCATCCCTTCTATGTCATTTTTAAGGACCCCTCCAACCCAACCATTCCACAGCTCTGTGACCTTTCAGAACTTTCCAACCCAACCATTCCCCAGTTCTGTGATCTTCAAGCACCCAACCCACCCAGCGCCCACTGCCCCTCCAGGTACCCGAGGACTAACCTGACCCCACGCTCTGTTTTGCAGCTCTGCAGCACTTCAGCGAGAGCATCCAGGAGTACGTGGCCAACCTGGACCAGGCCCCTGACCCCACGGTCAGGAAGGACACTTTCTGCAATGAGATCTTCAGCGCCTACGAGGTGCTCTTCAACAGCTGGCTGCAGCACCGCGAGCCCAAGGTGTGGGCCGAGGAGAGAAATTAGGGACAATTTCACCCCAAAAACAGCAGTTGGGTGCTGGCATGGGCTGCGCGGGGGGTGGTGGGATCACCGTCCCTGGAGGTGTTGCAGAAATGTGGGGATGTGGTCAGTAGGGATGGGTTGGTGTTGAGCTGGGGGTCTTGGAGATCTCTTCCAGCCTGAATGACTCTGTGGGTCTGTTTAGGGTCATGGTGGGATGGGTTGGGGTTGGACTTGGGGATCTAGAAGCTCTTTTCCCACATTGATGGCTCTGTGTTTCTATTTAGGGTCACAGTGTGGGTGGATTGGGTTGGATGATCTTGCAGATCTTCTCCAACTTGAATGACTCTATGGTTCTATTTAGGGTCACGGTGGGGATGGGTTGGGAGTGGACTTGGTGATCCTGGCAGTCTCTTCCGACCTTAATGACTCTGTGGTTCTGTTCAGGGTCATGGTGGGATGGGTTGGGGTTGGAGTTGTGGGTCCTGGAATTCTCTTCCAACCTTAATGATTCTATGGTTCTATTTAGGGTTGCAGTGAGGTGGGTTGGGGTCGGTGATCCTGGAGGTCTTTTCCAACCTTACTGATTCTACTTGTCTGTTTAGGATCATGATGGGGATGGTTTGGGGTTGGACTGGGTGATCCTGGAGGTGTCTTTCAACCTTAACAACTCCATGATTCTATTTAGGGTCACGCTGGGGAAGGTTGGGGTTGGACTGGGGAATTTTGGAGGTCTCTTCCAACCTGAATGACCCGATGGTTCTAATTAGGATTCACAGTGGGGTGGGTTGGGGTTGGACTTTGGGGCCATGTTGTGTTGGGGTTGGGTCTGCTGATCTTTCTGGCCCAAAGTTACGGATTCTCTTGATTCTGTCCCTGTTCTGCGCCTTGCAGGATCCACCCTGCCCTCATTAACGCTCGTTATCCTCCGCAGCTCCGGCTGGCGGTGGTGGAGGCTCTGGGAGCCATGAGCTACCTGATGCCCGGCGAGAAGCTGGAGGAGCAGCTCCCAAAGCTGATCCCAGCCGTCCTCTCCCTCTACAAGAAGCACACGGAGTCCTTCTACATCTCCAAGGTGAGCACAGGGCTGCATGTGGCCGTGGGGGAAGTGATGGGAAAAGCCCCGAAAACGCACTGCCCTGAGATCATCTCATCCCAACACTGGGCTCAATCCATGCACAGTCCCATCTGCCCACACCGTGTGGCTGTCCCCAGTGGTGGGAGCTGTGTGGTGGGCTTCAGCCCTTCTCCTTTCTGCCCCCCCCAGCTCTGGTCCCTTCCTGCAGCCCTGGGGAAGGGACCCTCCTTCCAAGTGTGAGTTCTCAGTGTTCTCAGTGCTCCCCCCTCTGATTCCAGAGCCTCTGTCAGATCCTGGAAGCCTCTGTTGACATCGGCAGCCGCAGCCTGGATGTGCAGCTGGACGCGCTGCTGGGCACCCTGCACCCCCAGGTAAGGCTGGGGGGCAGCAGAAGGGACGTGGGGCAGCGAGCTCACAGCTCCTGGGCTCTGCTGGGGGCCCCTGCTGTCACGTCCTACCCTCCCAAATCAAATGCTGACTCCTTAAGGACCCTGTAACCACTCCTGACCCCATAAGAGTCCCACAAGGACCCCGTAAGTACCCTATAAATCCACTCTCACCTCTTAAGGACCTCATAAGAACCCAAAAAGGACCCTATGAAAGCCCCTTTACCCCATAAGGTATAGGGTATAAACCCCTCCTGACCCCATAAGAACCCCATAAGGACTCTGTAAATACCCCATAGGACTCTTTAAGGGCCCCATAGGACCCCATAAGGACGTTCTAACCCCCTGTTTGGGTAGCACCTGGATGGGTCGAGTCATTCTGGAGGGGGGGCAGAGGGGCACAGCAGAAGGCATTGGGCCCCTGATGGACCCCCTGCCCCCTGGGAAGTGCTGCCCTGCTCCCACCTCATGCTTGGTGGGCAGGGAGCACCACTTGTTGCCCGCGTTGGGGATGCTGTCACCCCCCCCAAAGCCCACCATTAATCCTCCAGATCTGCTCTCCTGCCGACCCGGCTGTGCCCCTGACCGTCAAAAACCACACAGAGGTCCTTCGGTGCTTCACTGTGCTTGGTAAGGGGTGGTGGGAGGGACCCCCTCCTTGGAATGGGTCGGCTGAGGGTGATGGTTGAGTGTTGGAGCTGGCTGACCAGGGAGGTGGTGGGGGTCATCATCTCTAGAGCTGCTCAGGAACCAGAGAGATGTGGCACTCTGGGGACGTGGTCAGTGGGATGGGTTGGGGGTCTTGGAGGTCTCTTGCACTCTGAATGAGTCCATGGTTTTATTTAGGGTCATGGTGGGGTGGCTGGGTTGGAGCGGATGATCTCAGAGGTCTTCTTCGTTCTTAATGAGTTAATGGTTCTATTTAGAGTCATGGTGGAGTTGTTTGGGGTTGGATTGTGGATCTTGGAGGTCTCTTCCAACCTTAATGTTTCTATGGGTCTGTTTAGGGGCATGGTGGGATGGGTTGGAGTTGATCTGGGGAATCTTGGAGGTCTCTTCCAACCTTGGTGACTCTGTGGTTCTATTTAGGGTTGACATGGGGATGAGTTGGGGTTGGGCTTGGAGATCTTGGAGGTCTTCCCCAACCTTAGTGAATCTATTTAGGGACATGGTGGAGGTGGATTTTGGGTTGGACTGGATGGCCTTGGAGGTCTTCTCCAACCTTAGTGACTCTGTGGTTCTATTAAAGATTGTGGTGATGATGAATTGGAGTTAGACTGGGGGATCTTGGAGGTCTTCTCCAGTCTTAATGACTCTGTGGTTACTTAGGGTCATGGTGAGGGTGGGATTGGGTTGGATTGGATGACCTTGGAGGTCTCCTTCAGTCTTACTGACTCTATAGTTCTATTTAGGGTCATGATGGGATGGGCTGGGGCTGAATTGAGGGATCTTGGAGGTCTTCTCCAACCTGAGTGTTTCTGAGGTCCATGCTGGCTGCAGCCTTGCATCCAGGCTGGCAAAAGCTCAGTGTGCCCAGAGTGCATCGTTTGCTGCAGCTCTTTGGGGCACTGCTCAGGGCCACCTCAGCTCCCTTTGGGGCACACCAGCCCCTTCCAGGAACCTAGGCAGGAGTCTGGGGTCAAATCTTTCCTCCAAATCATAGAAACTTCAAATGGGTTGGGTTGGAAGAGCCCTTAAAGATCTAAGAGCTGTGGAATAGTTGGGTTGGAAAGGTCCTTAAAGATCAGGGGGTTGAACTCGATGATCTCTGGAGGTCCTTGCAACCCTACAATTCTGTGATTCTGTGATCATACAGCCATGGTTGGGTTGGAAAGGTCCTTAAAGATCATATAGCCATGGTATGGTTGGGTTGGAATGGTTGTTAAAAGTCATAGAAGCATAGAATGAGTTGTGTTGGAAGAGACGTTATTGATCATGGAATCTTAGTGTGGTTGGGTTGGAAGGGTCCTTACAGATCATAGAGCCCTGGAATCGTCGGGTGGGAAGGGTCCTTGAAGATCATAGAGCTGTGGAGTGGTTGTATTGGGAGGGTCCTTACAGATTATAGAGCTATGGAATAGTTGGGTTGGAAGGGTCTTTACAGATCACAGAGCTGTGAAGTGGTTGGATGGGAAGGGTCTTCGAAGATGATTCCATGGAGCCATGGAGTGGTTGTTTTGGAAAGGTCCTTACAGGTCGTAGAGCTATGGATTGGTTGGGTGGGAAGCGTCCTTACAGGTCGTAGAGCCAAGGAGTGGCCCCAACCCCAATCGACCATGGCTTTCTGACCCCCATGGTGCACAGTACCATGGGTAGAGTCCATTGGGGCGCAGTGCAACACATTCCCCTTTGCTCCCTTTGCTGTCCTGCAGCCTGCTCCTTCCCTGACCGAGTGCTGACCTTCCTCCTCCCAAAATTGGAGAGCAGCAGTGAGAGGACGCGCGTCGGGACGTTGCTCATCATGAGGCAGATCATCAACAGTGCCCGTGAGTTTGGTGGGAGCTCTGAGCATCCATCAGTGCCATCAAACAGTGATGGGGTTGGGTGGAGGAGGAGGAGGAAGAGGAGGAGGAGGAAGGGAGCAGAGCTGTGTCCTCAGCATCACCGACCTCGCAGCATCCGTCCTTCTTTTTGCAGCCTCTCAGATGGAGATTAAAAAGCCCTTTATCCTTTCTTCAATGAAACTTCCCCTTCAAGACAGCAACAACAAGGTGAGCAGAGGTGGTTTCCCAAAAGCAGGGGGTTCCCAGATCCCCTCCCCCATCCCTGGAGCTCCTCACCCGGTCCCAGCACTGCCTGCTGGTTGGACTGGGCAGTCTTGGAGGTCTTCTCCACCGTTAATGACGCTTTGGTCCTCTGTGTGGGCGCAGTGGGGATGGGTGCTGGTCGGACTCGGCGATCGTGGTGATCTTGATTGTGTTTCCAACCCCAGTGGCTTCTTGTGGTTGCAGGTGAGGCGTGCCGTGGTGCAGGTGATCAGTGCCATGGCTCACCACGGCTACCTGGAGCAGCCCGGTGGGGAGGCCATGCTGGAGTTCCTGGTGCGGCAGTGTGCCCTGCCCTCAGATGTGGTAAGGACCTCGTGCCCCTCATCCAACCACACCCATCCTACAGCTCTGTGATCTTTCAGGACCCATCCAACCTAAGCATTCAGCAGCTCACTGCTTCTGATCTATAAGGACCCTCCCAACACAACCCATCCTATAGTTCTGAGATCTTTCAGGACCTATCCAAACCAACTGTTAAACAGTTCTATGCTTCTGATCTCTCAGGACCCTTCTCACCCAACCCGCCCTATAGTTCTGTGATCTTTCAGGACCCTTCCAACCCAACTGTTGAGCTGTTCTATGTTTCTGACCTGTAAGGACCCTTCCAACCCAATCCATCTTACAGTTCTGGGATCTTTCAAGACCCTTCCAACCCAACCCATCCTATAGTTCTGGGATCTTTCAGGACCTGCCCATGCCAACTGTTAAGCAGTTCTATATTTCTGATCTATAAAGACTCTTCCAACCCAACCCATCCAATGGCTCTGTCTGTGATCTTACAGGTCCATTTCAACTCAACCCATGCTATATTGCTGTGATCTTTCAGGACCCTCCCAACACAATGTATTATATAGTCATCTTTCAGGACCTGTCCTGGCCAACTATTAAACAGTTCTGTGTTTCTGATCTATAAGGACTCTTCCAACCTATCCAATGATTCTGTGATCTTTCAGGACCCTTCCAACCCATCCTGTAGTTCTATGATCTATAAAGGACCCTTCCAACCCATCCTGTAGTTCTATGATCTATAAAGGACCCTTCCAACCCAACCCATCCTATAGTTCTGTGACTGTTCAGGACCCTTCCAACCCAACTGTTCTGCAGTTCTATGATTCTCTGACCTTTCAGGACCCTTCCAACTGAACTGTACAGCAATTCTGTGACTCTGATCTATAAGGACCCTCCCAACCCAATCATTCAGCAATTCTATGATTCTCTGATCTTTCAGGACCCTTCCAACCCAACCCTTAAGTGATTTTATGCTTCTCTGATCCATAATTTGGGGTTTTGATGACTTTCCCTCCCCGCAGCCCCAGAAGCCGCTCCCAGATGCAGATGACCCCACGAGCGACAGCGTGCGGAGCATCAGCGTCAGCACGCTCCTCCTCCTCAGCACCACTGTCGATCGGATGAACAATGTGAGTGTGTGCCGGCATCCTGTCACCCAGTGCTCTGCAGGGATGTCCCCTCCTCTGTCACAGCTGTTGTCACCATCCCATCCCTGAGTGCTGGAATCACCGAATCACTGAGGTTGGAATGGACCTCCAAGGTCATCCAGTCCAACCGTCCACCTACCGTTAATGTTTCCCCACTAAACCAGTAAACCCCACTAAGTGCTCCGTTGGGAACTGGAGTGGGGAAGTGGTGGTGGGGTCATCATCCCTGGGGTTGTTCAAACCGGGGAGGTGTGGCACTTGGGGACATGTTGAGTAGGACGGGTTGGAGGGGGGTTGGGGATGTTGGAGGTCTTTTCCAACTTTTATGACTCCATGGGTCTCTTTACAGTCATGGTAGAGTGAGTTGGGGTTGGATTGGATGATCTTGGAGTTCTCTTCTGGCCTTAATGACTCTGTGGTTCTATTTAGGGTCATGGTGGAGATGAGTAGGGCTTGGGAATCTTGTAGGTCTCTTTCAATATCGATGGCTCTATGGTTCTACGTAGCGCCATGGTGGGCTGGGTTGGGGTTGGACTGGATGATCTTGGTGGTCTTCTCCAACCTCACTCTCTGGTTCTGTTTAGGGTCGCAGTGGGGTGAGTTGACCTTTGGACTTGGGGATTCTAGAGGTCTCTCCCAAGCTTAATGACTCTATGGGTCTGTTTAGGGCCATGGTGGGTTAGGGTTGGACTGAAGAATCTTGGAGGTCTCTTCTGACTTTAATGACTCTAAGGGTCTATGTAGGGTCGTGGTGGGATGGGTTGGGATTGGACTGGATGATCCTACAGGTCTCTTCCAACCATAGTGACTCTGTAGGTCTATTTAAGACTGTGGTGGGGTGGGTTGGAGTTGGGTTGGTGACCTCAGAAGTCTCATCCAACCTTAACAATTCCATGATGCTGTGAGTATCTCTGGAGCTGGCATCTCACCGCTCCTGTCCCGCTGTGCCGTGGGCTCTGCATCCCCCCACCCCACAGGTGCTGTGGCCGTACCTCCTGGAGTTCATCACCCCCGTGCAGTTCACCAACGCGCTGACTCCCATCTGCAAGAGCCTCATGCATTTGTCCGTGAAGAAACGAGAGGAGGGAGGGAATGCATCCCTGATCCCATACGACCTCAACGGTTGGTACGGGTGTGCAGGAAAGGTTGATCTGCTCAGGCTCAGGGGGAGGTGCTGTCTTATGCCATTTTCCTTCTGTTTGTAGGAAATCTTCCTTCGCCCCACGCCCTGACGACACGGTTGCTGGTACGTGGTGCGGGGGCTGCCCCTCGTTGGGTGATCATATGAGGGCAACGGGACATGGGGGAATGGGTTGAACCCAACAGAGGGCAGACTGGGGTCAGATGTGGGGAAATCCTTCACCCAGAGGCGGTGCAGCCCCAGCACTGCTGCCCGGAGCTGTGGGTGCCCCATCCCTGGAGGCGCCCGAGGCTGTGGGTGGGGTCCTGGGCAGCCTGAGCTGAGGGGCAGCCAGCCCACAGCAGGGGTGGGATGCTTTCCAACCCAAACCAACTCAACCTGTCCTACGGATCTCTGATCTGTAAGGACCCTTCCAACCCAGTCATTCCATGATTCTATGACCTTTAAGGACCTTCCCAACTCAACTCGTTCTATAGCTTTTTCATCATTAAGGGCCTTTCCAATCCAAGTCATACTCTAATTCCATGCTTGTTTGATCTTCAGTGACCCTTCTAACCCCACCCTTTTTATTGCTCTATGACCTTCAAAGACCCTCTCAACCCTTTCTCTACCTCTATGACCTTCAAGGGCTCTCCCAACCCATTCTATGTCTCTATGAACTTTCAGGACCCTCCCAACCCAACTCTTCCATGTCTCTGTGTCCTTTGAAGACCCTCCCAACCCCTTCTATGGCTCTGTGACCGTTCAGGACCCTTCCAACCCAAGGCATCTCATTCTCCCTTTCCAGGTGGTGTCCTCCCGGCCGTACACCGGGGACGGTCGGGGTGCAGCAGCCCTGCGGCTCCTGCATGCGTTGTGCTGCAGCGTCCACCCTGCCCTGGAGCAGCTCTGGAGCAAAAGGGTTCCTCTGCTGGTGGAGCGCATCGAGGGTAGGAGGGGTTTTCTTTGGGGAGGTTGGGGGCTGCCCGAGACCCTTTGAGGCTAGAAGAGCACAAAGGAGATTTTTCCTAGAGAACACTGAGAAGTCGCTGCACCTGGAGGAGTGGGAGGAGGAGCTGCTGCTGGTGAGTCCTTCCACAGTGCTGGAGGTGGGATGGCAAAGTGGGGGTAGCTCTGGCACTTGGGATCCATGCATCGGGCTGGGCCATAGCGTGTCTGCTGCTTAATTGGAGAGCCTTAAAATAGGACACGGAGAGGTAATTAACCCCGAGCAAGGCTTGTGGTGCTCTGCTGATGGTGTTGGATTGACCTCGGGCCGTTTCTCATGGAACAGGGGGAAAAAGGTGCACTTCTGGGCTGGGAGCAGGGAACATTCAGCAAGGATGATGGGTGGAGAAAAACAGCGTGAGGTTCGATGTGGGGCGGGTGGAGAGGCCTGCATCTTGGGGGGGAATGACTGCAGAACCAGTACAGGCTGGGGCTGAGCTGCTGGAAGGAGGCGCTTCAGAGAAGGACCTTTAGGTGTGGTGGGCAGTGATTGGTTAATGGTTGACCAGTTGACTAATGGTTGACCCAGTAGTTGAACTGTGGTTGACCCAAGTGTTGACCAGCAGTTGACCAATGGTTGACCAACGTCTGACCCAGTGGTTGACCAATTGTTGTTCAGTGGTTGACCAACAGGTATCAAATGGTTGACCAGTGGTACACCAACAGTTGACCATGAGCCAGCAGTGAGCCCTGGTGGCCAAGAGGGCCAATGGAACCCTGTGTTGCATTGCCAGAGTGCAGCCAGCAGGGCAGGGAGGTGCTGCTCCCCTGTGCTCTGCCCTGCAGGGCACTGCTGGAGCACTGCGCCCGGTGCTGGGCTCCCAGTTCAGGGCAGACTGGGAGCTGCTGGGAGAGCCCAGCGGGGGGTGCGGAGATGGGGGGGACCTGGAGCCCCTCCTGGTGGGGACAGGCTGAGAGCCCCGGGGCTGTGCGCTGGGGGAGGGAAGGCTGGGAGGGGTCTGAGCAGCGCTGATGGAGGGTGGGGGGTAGGAGGAAGGGGCAGGGTGGGTCTGGGGGAGCTCTAGAACTTTCCAACCTTGACCATCCTGTGGTTCTGTGACCCAGCTCCTCCAGGAAACACTGGCAGCCGTTTCAGACAACGCTTGGATCTGCCACTTTGTGACAGAGATGTGCCGGCAGCTGAATGGCTACAATGGATTCCCCACCGAGAAGGTGACAGATGTGGGACTGAGCACTGGGTCCATCCTCACTGGTTTCGGTCCAACGTGTGGTGTTTTCCAATTTGTTGTCCTTCCCACTGCACCTCTGTGCTGGGAGAAGGGTGTCGGGAGGGAATTAAAATAGCAGGGGGTTAATTGGGGTGGGTCGGTGCATTTGAAAGTGGAATTCTTCCCATTTCCATCATGTGCGGTCAGTTCTGCCCCATGGCGTGTCAAGAGCTCATCCATAGGCAGTCGGTCAGTCCTGATGTCTGTCCTTCTGTCCCCCACTGCGTCCCAGCTCTTCGTGGCCGTGTTGGAGGCTCAGATCCCCAACGCCCTTTTGTCCTTCCAGAACTTTCTGTACAAGTGCATTGGGACGACGCTCGGGGCGTGCGTGAGCAAGGAGTTGGTCCAGAAACAGCTGCAGGAGCTGCTGGAAACGGCCCGGTACAACGAGGAGGCAGAGTGGGAGGTGAGAGGGGCTACGTGGGTCTGCCTGCACCCATTGCCTGAAGGAGATTTGGGGTCCTGCTGCGTCTCCAGGCTAGGGCTCATGTGACCCCATGGGGCTATGGGGCTTCCTGGGGCTCTTGGCTGCACTGCTGTTGTCTGTCCTTCCTCCATGCTGTGCTCTGCAGAGCCACACAGATTCTCACAGATTCAGTGGGGTGCGTGGCAAAACAATTGGGCAAAAAGGACCTGCAGGTTCTGATTGTCCAACAGTTGACCAGTGGTTGACAAATGATTGACCAGTGGTTGACCAGTGATTGACCAATGGATGGCCAATGGTTGACCCAACAGTTGATCCAGCAACTGACGAATACATGACCGGTGGTTGACCAATATTTGACCAAAGGTTGACCAGTATTTGACCAATGTTTGTCCAGTGTCTTACCACCAATTGACCAATGGTTGTCCAACGTTGTAGCAATGTGTGACCAACGACTGACCTGCGGTTGACCAGTGTTTGACCAATGGTTGATCCAATGGTTAACCAACAGTCGATCCAGTGGTTGACCAGCAGCTGTCCAATGGTTGTGCAATGGTTGACCAGTGGTTGTCCAGCAGTTGACCAATGATGACCAGTTGTTGGCCAATGGTTGACGCAAGAGTTGATCAGCAGTCAGCCAACAGTTGACCTACCGTTGACCACGAGCCAGCAGTGAGCTCTGGTGGCCAAGTGGGCCAACGGGACCCTGTGGTGCATTGCCTGGAGCGTGGCCAGCAGGGCAGGGAGGTGCTGCTCCCCTCTGCTCTGCCCTGGGGGGGCACAGCAGGAGCACTGGGATTTGGGATGCTGTGCTCCAGCTTTGCACAATCCCAGCTGTGGTCCCACACTCAGCCAGGAGCGCCGTGCCGCGCCGCAGCCACCTCTCCATGCAGTGCAAACACTGTCTCATGGTGATCCAGTTTGCACAGCTCTGCTGAGGGCTGAATGATCAGTTGATGGTGTTCCAGCCTGACCTCTCCTGCATGGTGCTGCTTTGCTGGTGTCACCGTGTCACCACACCTTGTGTCCCCAAAGGGGGTGGTGGCTGCCAGTGCTGAGCTCTGCTGGGCACGGCTCAGCTGCTGGGAATTAAACCAATCAAGGGGCTCTATTGAAGTGTCAGTGGGGTTGGGAATTAATTGCTTTCTGCTAATGCGTTTTCTCTGCTCCCTCCAGGGACTCGCTTCCTGCTTTGGGATATGTGCAATAAATCACCTGGAGGAAACGCTGGCCAAGCTGGAGGATTTCGTGCGGTCCGATGTCTTCAAGAAATCCGTGGGGCTGTTCAGTATTTTCAAGGTTAGGGGCCTCAGTGCCTCCTAAGGGCCGTGGGGGGCGGCTCTGGCTGTGCTGTGTTTGGTGTGGGGCTGGAGGACCCCAAGGGAGAGGGAGATTGGCAGCACCGTGTCTTGGTCTGAGGACCCTGATGCAGGGAGATTTGGGGCTGTGGGAGTGGGGAGGAGAGGGCACAGGGATGCTCAGGGGATGGAACAGCTCTTAGGACAAAAGAGAGAAGTGCCTGAGGCTGTGGGTGCGGCCCTGGGCAGCCAGAGATGGTGGGGGGCAGCCAACCCATGGCAGGAGTGCGGCTGGGGGGTCATTTCCAACCCAACTGTGCTGTGGTTCTGTGATCTTTAAGGACCCTTCCAACCCAACCAGTTGGTGGTTCTATAATCTTTAGGGACCTTTCCAACCCAACCATCCCATGGCTCTGTAATCTTTAAGGACCTTCCCAACCCAACCATGCTATGCTAGAGCTGCAGTGACAGCTGTGGGTGGCAAATGGGAACCCATGTCTCAGGCGAGGACGTGCCAGATGTGGTCCTATGGGACTCTGGGCACATCTGCTGCTGACAGAATGGGGCGTGAAGACTTCAAACCACAAGGAGGAAGCCCTGATTCCCCCAGAGCCCCCACTGAACCATCCCATCTGCCCCAGCAGGACCGCAGCGACCACGAAGTGGAGAAGATCAAGAGTGCCCTGATCCTGTGCTACGGCTTCGTGGCCGCGCACGCTCCCAGGGAGCTGCTGCTGTCCCGCCTCGAGGCCGACATCCTGAAGAACATCTCCCAGTACTTCAGCACCAAGGTGGGCAGCAGGACGGGGGGCACGGAGCACTCTGGGTGTCGGGGTAGGGCGGGGGGCTGTGCAGGGACCGCTGGTCCGACGGACGGCACCGCCGCTCAATGCCCATGTCTTGTTTTGCAGGTTCTGGGGATAAAGGTAGAGACCAAGGTACAGTGTGGGGCGCTCAGTCTGCTCTGCTCTCTGCTCTGTCTTGCTCTCTCTACCTCTGGGCTTGGGGCTCGGGGCTGGGAGCGGGGAATTTTCCTGATCCTAAGCCCACGTCAGCAGGCAGAACTTGCTCAATGGAGTTCTTTCCTGTTGGGTTTTTTTTGTTGTTTGTTTGGATTTTTTTGGTCTAAATTTCGAGTGGTGCTGTGCAAAGCCAGGAGTTGGGCGTGGAGATCCTCATGGGTCATTTCTGATGATCTGTGGGTCCACGAATGCGTTTTGTTAGATCAGAACACAGAAATCTGACTCCCCTACGTGGTAGAAAGTGACTGCACAGTGTGAGCGAGTTACAGCTGTAGGGACTGTTATTTCATTGTATTAAAGCACTTGATCTCCTGAAATATGAAAGTATAGACTGAAGGCAGTGGTGAGCGCTGCTCCCACCACCTCGGCCCCTCAGCATGTAGAACCAGAGGAAATACAGGGTGTTAAAGAAGAGGGGTAAAAATGATTGCTGGGAAGAAAACAACTATCAAAAGCTGGAAGGATTTGTGTTAAAGTAGTACCCACACACATCTGAATCTGTCCTTCCCAAAATAATGGCACACTGCAACACACCCATTCCATGGCTCTGTGGTCTGTAAGGACCCTTCCAACACAACCCAACACAATACAGCACAACCATTCTGTGGCTCTGTGGTCTGTAAGGACCCATCCAACACAACCATTCCATGTCTCTATAATCTGTAAGGTCCCTTCCAACCCAATCCGACACAATACAACTCAGCACAACCATTCCATGGCTCTGTGGTCTGTAAGATCCCTTCCAACCCAACCCATTTCATGTCTTTGTAATCTATAAGATAGATAGATGTGATCTATAAGGTAACTTTCAACCCAACCCAACCTGGCCATTCCATAGCTCTATGATCTGCAAGGACCCTTCCAATCCAACCCAACCCAACCATCCCATGGCTCTATGATCTGCAAGGACCCTTCCAATCCAACCCAACCTAACCATCCCATGGCTCTATGATCTGCAAGGACCCTTCCAACCCAGCCCAACCCGTTTTGTGTCTCTAATCTATAGGTGCCTTCCAACCCAACCCAACAGAACCCATCCTATGCTCTATAGTCTATAAGCTCCCTCCCAACCTGACAATTCCGTACAATTCTCTGTATAGGGTCCCTCCCAACCCAACCAATCCTGTATCACTGTCATCTATAAAGCCCCTTCCAACCCACCCCATTCCATGCCTCTGTGATCTGTAAGGACCCTCCCACCCCATGGTGTTGCCCCTGACCCCTCGCCGCTCTGTGCAGTGCCCACATCCTGCCCCCTGTTCCCCTGCTCTCCCCCCACAGCACAGGGCACTGCAGAGCCCCAGCTGCAGAAATTCATGGAGCTCATTTCCCCACTTCCCCCCGGGGAGCCATCACTCACCGACCAGATAGCAAAAGGCAGATTGCCATCCTGGGGGGCAGCCGGGGGCCGCGTCTCTATATTTACTTTATTTTCAAGGCTGACCGATGACAAATGGCATTTGTCACGTTGAGGTGAAGCTGTCAGGGCCCCCGTCCCCCAGCTGCACTAACACATTTTCCTTTGGGCTCCTCTGGCACTAACAGCTCCACTGTGGCACCGCGCCGGGGCCGTCCCCACCGCCGGGCTCAGCTGGGATGAGGGAGCACTGCTAATTGGGGTGGGGGCAGCCCCCTGATGGCCATTGTTCCTATTCTCTGGGTCTGCCATCATCAGTCTCTATGAGGATGGTGGTGTGATGGGCTGGAACCGAGAGTTCACGGGAGGCACAGCCCCCTGCGTAAGGGGTGCAGATTTTTGGAGGTGTGGGAGAGTTTGGAGGTTCCTGGTGTTGCCTCAGCAAGGAGCTGAGACCCCAAAGTGTCCCACAGCACAGGATGTGGGCAGGGGGTGTCCGTGCCCCATTGGCAGTGAAGGTCCTGGTGCCCCATGGCTGAGATTCCCAATGCCCCATTACGTGGTTATATGAGTGCCTTGGTGCCCTGTGGCTATGGGGTTCCCAGTGCCCCATGGTTATGGAGGTCCTGGTGCCTCGTGGCTAGGGGATTCCTATTTTCCAGGGCTATGGTGGTTCCAGTGCCCTATGGTTGTGAGAGTCCTCGTACCCCATGAGTATGGGGTTCCCAATGCCTCGTGTGTAAGGAGCTCCCAGTGCCACGTGGCTGTGGGATTCCCAATTCTTAGTGGTTATGGGGGTCCCAGTGCCCCATGGCTAAAAGGTTCCCAATCCCCCATGGCTATAGGGTTCCCAATTCTCTGTGGCTATGGTGGTTCCAGTGCTCCACGGCTATGGGGTACTGATTCTCCATGGCTATGGGGGTCCTGGTGCCCTCTGGCTATGTGGTTCCCAATTCTTTTTGGCTATGGTGGTCCCAGTGCCCCATGGCTATGGAGTTACCAATTCTCTGTGGCTATGGGGTTCTGATTCTAATGGCTATGGGGGTCCTGGTGCCCCATGGCTGGGGGTTCACAATTCTCTGTGGCTAATGGTGGTTCCAGTGCCCCATGGTTGTGGGATTCCCAAATCTTAGTGGTTATGAGGGTCCCAGTGACCCATGGCTATGGGGTTCTGATTCTAATGGCTATGGGGTTTCCAGTGACCCATGGCTATGGGGTTCTGATTCTAATGGCTATGGGGGTCATGGCGCCCCATGGTTATGGGGTTCTGGTTCTCTGTGGCTATGGGTTTTCCTATTCTGTGTGGCTATGGTGGTCCCAGTGTCCCCTGGCTATGGGGTTCTGATTCTCCTTGGCTATGGTGGTCGTGGTGCCCCACAGCTATGGGGTGTCTGTCAGGATGGAGGCCCAGCCGCTCCCTTTGTCACCACAGAGCCCAGCGCTGGGAGGGACACGGGGCAAAGTGTCCCCAGTGCCGGGAGGTGACCATCTGTGGTGGTGTCACCACGGTTCTGTACTCAGGACCTGACCCTGAAGCTGTGCCTCATCCGGAGCATCGCCATGATCAGCCGGGCCGTCCGTGGCAGCACCAAATGCAGCACTGACTTTGTTTTGGGTCGCAAAGCCGAACTCATGGCACAGATGGTGGTGAGAATGGGTGCCAGGGTTGGGTGGTTTGCGGGAGTCGGGATTTGGGGGGTGGTGAATGGGGCGGATGTGTCCATCCCTGTCCCCGTCCCCTTGGTCTGTTCCAGGAGTTCATCAAAGCAGAACCGCTGGACTCGATGCGGACACCAGTGCGGCAGTGGGCGATGGTCACCTGCACCCACCTCGTGTATCCTTCTTGGTAGAGCGAGGGATAGGTGGGTTGGAAGGGTCCTGGAAGGTCATAGAGACATGGGATGGTTGGGCTGGATTGGGTTCAGAAGGTCTTTAAAGATCATAGACATCTCGGATGGTTGGGTAGGGTAGGGTTTGATTGGATGGGCCTTTAGGGATCATAGAGATATGAGATGGTTGGGTTGGAAGAGTCCTGAAAGGTCATCATAGAAGGAGTTGGGATGGGAGGGTCCTGAAAGATCATAGAGCTGTGGGATGGTTGGGTTGGGTTGGGTTGGAACGGTCCTTAAAGATCACAAAGCTGTGAGATGTTTGTGTTGGAAGGGTTCTGAAAGGTAGTCATGTAATGGTTGGCTTGGGAGAGTCCTGGAAAATGATAGGGCCATGGAATTGTTGGATTGGAAGGGTCCTTAAAGATCACAGACACATGGAATGGTTGGGTTGGGTTGGAATGGTCCTTAAAGATCCTAGAGCTGTGGGGTGATTGTGGGGTTGGGTTGGGATGATCTTTAAAGGTCATCTTAGAAAGGATTGGGTCAGAAGGGTCCTGAAAGATCATAGAGCCATGGAATGGTTGGGTTGGGAGGGTCCTTAAAGGTCAGCGGAGAAGGGATTGGGGTAGAAAGGTCCTTAAAGGTCCCTTAAGGGTGGGCATGGTGGGAATGGATTGGGGTTGGACTGGAGAGTCCTGGAGGTCTCTTCCAACCCCAGTGACCCCGTGAGCGTATGACTGGGCCAGCAGAATTTTGCTCCGTCCCTCCTACTGCACTCCTGAACCCCCACCTCAGCCTCCTGGAGCCCCAGCTCAGCGACCCCGACCGCACAGAGCTGATGGACGCGTGCCTGGCCGGCGTCCTGGCGCTGCCCCCATTGGACTCACATTGGGACCGCGATGGGGATGGCGGCGATGCGCCCTACAGCGAGGTTGGGAGGCTCTCCAACCCCATTCCTGGGGGTACCCCTTCTATCTCCCACTCCTGGGGGTGTCCCTTCCATCTCCTATTCCTGTGGGTCCCCCTGTCGTCTCTCAGTCCTGGGGGTTTCCCCTCTGTCCCCCACCCCAGGGGGTGTCTCCTCTATCTCCCACTCCTAGGTGTCTCAACTCCATCCCCAACTCCTGGGAGTCGGTCCCCTGTCCATCTTCCAATCCTGGGGCTCCTCCCTCTACTTCCCACTCCACGGAGTGTCCCTTCCATCTCCTATTCCTATGGGTCCCCCTGTCATCTCCCAGTCCTGGGGATTTCTCCTCCATTCCCCACCCCAGGGGGTGTCGCCTCTATCCCCCACTCCTAGGTGTCTCAATTCCATCCCCAACTCCCATGTCCATCTCCTACTCCTGGGGGTTCCCTTCCATCTCCCAATCCTGGGGGTCCTCCCTCTACTTCCCACTCCACGGAGTGTCCCCTCCATCACCTATTCCTGGGGGAACCCCTTCCCTCCCCCACTCCTGGAGGCACCCACCTCCACCCCCCACTCCTGGGTGTGCCCCCTCCATCTCCCAGTCCTGAGGATGTTCTCTCCATCCCCTATTCCTGGGGATCCTCCCTCTGCTCCCCACTCCAGGGTGTATCCCCTCCATCCCTTACTCTCTGGGTTCCTCTGTCCATTTCCCACCCCTGGGTTGTCCCCCCTGTTCCTGGGGATCCCTTCCCTCCCCCACTCCTGGAGGCACCCACCTCCACCCCCCACTCCTGGGTGTGCCCACTCCATCTCCCACTCCTGAGAATTTTCCCTTCATCCCCTATTCCTGGGGTTTCCCCCTTTGCCCCCCCTCCTGGGGGTACCCCACCACCCCCTGGTTCTGGGTGCCTCTCACATCCATAACCACTCCACAGGAGCTGTTTGCAGACACCCTCGGTGCCCTCCAGGAGCTGCTGAAGACCCTCCTGCAGCGCAGCCTGACCCCACACGGCCTGCAGGACATGTTTGCGGTACGTGCCGGTTCCCTCTCGCCACTGTCCCCTTCCTGTGTCACCCGAGGACCCCACCACCCTCTGATGACGTCATTTCCCCCCCATACCGCAGCACTTGGGCCCGTGGATCAAATCCAGCAAGCAGCACGAGCGGCAGCGTGCCGTGGAGCTCAGCGCCGCGCTGCTGGACTTCTACCTGGGCAGGCTCAACGTCAGCGTAAGTGTGCCTCAGCGGGCCTGCCTGTGTGTCCCAGTGCCATCCCACTGCCATCCCAGTGCTGTGCCCTTGTATCCCAGTGCCATCTGGTGTCATCCCAGTGCTGGCCCTGTGTATCCCAGTACCATCCCAGTGCTGTGCCCGTGTATCCCAATGCCATCCTGGTGTCATCCCAGTGCTATCCCAGTGTCATCCCAGTGTCATCCCAGTGCCATTCCAGTGCCATCCCAGTGCTATCCCTGTTTATCCCAGTGCCATCCTGGTGCCATACCAGTGCTGTCCCTGTGTGTCCTGGTGCCATCCCAGTGCCGTGCCCGTGTATCCCAATGCCATCCCGCTGCCATCCCAGTGCTGTCCCTGTGTATCCCCATGCCATCCCAGTGCTGTGCCCGTGTATCCCAATGCCATCCTGCTGTCATCCCAGTGCCATCCCAGTGCCATCCCTGTGTATCCCAATGCCATCCTGGTGCCATCCCATTGCCATCCCAGTGCTGTCCCTGTGTATCCCAGTGCCATTCCAGTGCCATTCTGGTGTCATCCCAGTGCTGTCCCTGTGTATCCCAATGCCATCCCAGTGCCATTCCAGTGCCATCCCACTGCTGTCCCTGTGTATCCCAGTGCCGTTCCAGTGCCATTCTGGTGTCATCCCAGTGCTGTCCCTGTGTATCCCAATGCCATCCTAGTGCCATCCTGGTGCCATCCCAGTGCTGTTCTGGTGCCATCTCAATGCCATTCTGGTGTCATCCCAGTGCTGTCCCTGTGTATACCAATGCCAGCCTGGTGTCATCCCAGTGCCATCCTGGCGCCATCCTAATGCCATCTCAGTGCCATCCTGGT